AAAAACAGTATAAGCTGAGAGCCTTACCTTTTTACCTATATAATACGTGTGACAGACCATGCTATTTAAGGCAAAAGTATTGTGTCAATGTAGAGTCCTTTTATTATTATATTCATCATCAACACATCCCATTGCTCGAAACGGGTCTTCTCTCAGGCGAGGGTTTAGGCATAACATAGTCCGCCACGTTGACCCAATGTTAGTGACTTCACACGTTTTCAGAGGGTTGTGAACCTTCTTCGACGTGCAGGTTTCATTACGATATTACGTTTTTGTGAAGTTTGTTCAAGAATGTATACGGTTCAATTTGTACATCGTTAAGCTGCTTTGTGCACCATTAACTAACTGCCTTTCACCTAAAACTCCGTAATAATTTGTAAGGTTGCCTGGAAGAGATCGCTATCTAGCGATAAGGCCGCCGATTGCACCTTTAACTAGGTATGTCATATTTTTTGTATTGTCACTGTTATTATTTTGTGGGCAATAAAGCTGATTCTATTCTATTTTTGTTTACAAAAAAGATATTTTTGTTTGAAACAAATTCCCCGAGTTCGCCTCAAAAGCCGTAAAAGTTTCCTCCGCACCACAAAGACTACGAGTGACCATCCAATTTCACTAAGTGTGCACTGTGGAAACGGAAGAACTCCCCACCATCTATCTGGTTTCATCATACCTCAAGAGCAATTACCACCAGGTTGCGATCTGCGGTTGTCCGTGTGGAAGTCCTTAAATCGACTACGCACTCAGGTAGGACACTGCAGAGACACGTTGTGTAAATGGGGTTTCAGGGATGCTAGACTAACCCAATGTGACTGCGGTGCTCTAAGACAGTCCATGCAGCACTTACAGTGCCCCTTGTGTCCTAATACCTGTTCAGTCAAGTCAGTGACAGCGCAGTCAAGGTAGCAACATTCTATTTACGGTCAATATAGTCCTAAAATAAAAGAAGTATCAACACGATAAGAAGAAGAAGACCGAAAAAACCCAAGGTAAACTTAAATTAAATTTCGCACGTAAATTCCGAGAAATTCATAGGAAAATCTTATAGGCCCGGAACCCACGGCTTCTGCTTGAGAGGCGGCAGGTCAAACCGTTAGGCTACGTCCTTTTTTTATGTTGTATTATATTACAATGAATTAAAGATGACTTCTAAAACAAACTTTAAGGTAAATTAAGCAGGGAATGGAAAGTATAAACAGACTTCTAGCTTTAACACTTGAGTTTTCAGAATCGAGTTTACACCGCGCCCAAGGCCATGAAAGGTTCGTGACAGTATCTGGAAAGTATGGCCTTGTGTAGCATTACAATACTTACTGGCCTTTAACGCTTTCTAAATTATTTCATCTATAAATGTCCATTACTGAACCTAACTTTATTGTTTTTTTTTTATTTTAAACCGAAAGCAACTATAATGCACTTATTTTTTTAAGAAAAGTTAAATTATTTAATTATGGCAGCCTTTTCTAGTTTCTTCTTTATAAATATTTAACAAGTTCAGTATTTCATACATTCAATTCGTGTAATAATTCCTATTGTTAGTAATTTTCCTACTTGTTGTTATTTAAATTTTAAGTTATATATTATAATTTTAATGTTAACTGCCGTACCATCTCGTCTTACAGCAGTTGAGCTGCGACATATACTGAGTTGGATCCGTTTCAGTTTATAATTGTAATCATTAATCTGTTCTGTATTAGTCTTAATAAGCTGGATAAACGTTTCTTTTATTTCGATTAGGTAGTTTGAGGACGAGCATCTAGACGGATATAAACTACTGAGAAACAGAATTCTTTCTTTCGGTTTTGACTTAGATAACAATCTGTGAACATGCGTCCCTGAGTGCAGGAAGAGAACGCTAACTAGACAAGCGCATTGTTTGCGCAGGTGCGCAAACGCAACTTTGTCCTCCAAATTATCGCCTGCAGCTCAAACACGCACAGGAATGTCGAGGATCTCTCCGAACGTTATTCTTTATTCGTGACCTACTCATATACTCTATATACACAGGTTTATTTGATACATACATGTTATTTAAGTTCAAGTGTAAAAGTGTTGCCTTTCACACAACACACATTTTAAGTTCATTTATAATACTAAGTGACGGGACGGACGGGACGAACAAGTCGTGTGTCTGGTGATAAACGATACGCCTGTCCCTAACAGTTGCAGCGCCACTCAGAGCTTTAAATCGCAAAGATCTGAGGGGCACTGCTACTGCGCCCGACACCCAGAGACATAAGTTGACAAGTCTTATGTGCCTGTAATTTCACTAGCAAGTGGTAAGGCCCTTAAACCCGAACGCAGTAATGTTCACATTACTGCTTGGCGACAGAAATAGGTAAGGTGGCAGTAAAATTCTCAATAGTATGCGTCTTCATTAATTCATTCTCAGACATATCGAGTCATGGCTCTTATATTTAATATTCATAAAGTTCAATTCTCTGTATGTGATAAATTGGAAATGACATTAATATTATTGTATAACTCGTATATATGCAAATACTTACCTACGGTGAAACACGCAGACACTCAACATATATCTAAGGACTACTCATAGATATATGGTACTTACTAGCGCAGCAAAAAATGAAAATGACTTAATGAAATTTATACGAAAAATCAGAGACACGTCATGCATTCCTTAATTTTTTCATAGAGAACAAAATGCTTATTAAAATAATCTCCAAATGTGATTAGTGGTCCTAAAACTTTAACTCGTTTTCTGTAATTTTTTGCAAATGTAAAGTTAGTCAATGTTTCATCGGAATGTGTAATAAATAGCCCTTGTACCTTGCACACAGTATTCAGCTATGCGCCCAAGAAATTTGATCGTCTTTACCTTTTATATTTGCTTATTGGAGGACTCTACACGTGCTCACAGTTTTCCACTTATTTTAAAATATTTTATTAAGAGTTCAGTTTTGTTTACTTGTTAAATATTATGCATCGTTTTGTGTCCTTTGAAAATTAAATTTAGGTTTATTATTACAATTAATTTTGTCTTAAATAAATAATAATAATAACGCACACACTCAACATAGCCCCGCACTAGGGAAACTCTGTGTCGCGGTGCCATGGACACATACATAGACAACCACAAATATCACCCAAACTCACGAGAGAAATAAATGTAGGCCATACAACTATTTCTCCCGGCTCGGGAATCGAACCTGGGACCTCTGCGTGGCAGTCCGGCATGGTAACCGTTCGGCCACGGAGGCAGTTGTCTAGACAATAGCGATTGTAATAATTATTATAGAGATCTTTATTTCGCTAAAACGACCTTCCAATATATCTAAACAGTTAAGGTAAACATATAATTGATAGCAGACTATATTATTCATAATTAACTAGTAGTAATTATATCATTATATACGACATATAATACAAATATCTAATGGCATTGCCTAACCTTAACCTTTTGTCTAAATAGTTAAGGTTAGCTTTTAACAACAGCAATGAAATGATGAGAGAGAAATTAAGGCTATATGTATTATAATAGCAGCTCCTCAGTTTTATTCAGACTTTACTTTACTTATCTTACTAGGCCTCTTCATAAACTAATCTACCATAACTTCATTAGATCTGGAACAACCATGACAGCCGATTGCTATTGTAGAGAAATGAGGACGATGATGGAAAGACTTGCAGAGAAACAACCACGTTTAGTTGACGATCTTCACCGCTACTTTTACATGATAACTATACTGAAGGCATATTACCGAAGAATTTCCACCTAACAGAAATGGCAATTTGAAGTTCGCATCTCTACATTCACTCCTGGCGTGTTGCCTATGACCATTTTTTTCCTAAATTTTTGAGAATTGGGAATCCAAAGCTTCCAGAAAGATGGCGGAAGTGCATTAATTGATAGCATGGATGCATTTTAACAAAATAAATGTTATTTTGTACAACATTGTTTCAATGTTAATTCTCCTACACAAAACGGCAATTGTTTACTAGAACGAAATAGTTTAACATGCAATCGTCAACTTCCATAAAACTCGAATAGCCCCGAAGTTTAGAATATAAAAGTAGTAGCATACCTTCCCTAGCATACCTTTCTATGATTTATATTTGTTTGTATTTTCTTTTTTGGTGCAATATTCATACACTACTTACCTTTTATATAGGGACTATGGCAGTGACGGATATAGTTACTACAGAAATGAAAGAATAGTCTGACATGAAATAGATTGAAGACTCATAAATTATTAAAATGTTTATAACTGCCATTCACCGGAATAAATTTTGGGATGAGCCTTACCGACACATATCACTAGTAGCGTTTATAAACGACACTTAAAATTTATAACAGACAAATAAGAACTTGTTTTTCATTACCTCTCATTTACAGAATAAGAAACGAGGCAACACCGAAGGTCTATTCTATTTATTTGACATCCGTCCATTATATTAATATTCTAGTCTAGACTTATTTAGCTCGACCTAAGGCTATTCATACCACAATCATTAAACAAAGCAAATTATCCTACATTAAGTGTAGGATTCATAGATCAAAGAACTTGAACTTTGTAAGCGCTTTTTAATAGAATTTCCTGGGACATAAAAGGTTTTTTAGTGTGTAATAATTACAAAAATGGTGTTTATAATAATATGTACACAGACTCATCACATCACGAGGTTACACATACCGAATTACTAACTTTTGATGTCGTGAATAAAATCTATTTATAATGTTGACGTCGTCGCTCCACATTCTTATCTCTGCGTACGCTGAGGGCTAAGTCGACATGTTCAGTGTTTGTTACTACTCGGGACTAAGAACAAGGATCTACTCAACCATGCTTTACTCACAAGTTTATTTACAGACATGATTCGCGCGACAATTATTTTATCGAGAACATATAACGTTGTTTGTATGGTAACTGTATAATTACTGGAAGCCAAGTAGATAGTAAGATCACCAATTCACAGCTCCAGTTACTCTATTTTGCTTAAATTAACAGCAACTAACAGCATTTTTCGTTTGTCAACAGCACGTCCGATGATCTCGGCGAGCCTCCCCAGCGAGGCGCTGGCCCAGCTGGGGCCGTTGGGGCAACTGAGTCATCTGTACCCGCCGGTGCCGTCGGCCGGCGGTATGACGCCCGAGTTCCTGGCGCCGCCGCCACGTCCGTACGCGCGCTACGGGCCACGGCGGCCGCGTGACGCCATGCCCGCGCCGCCACCGCCCTCCACACCGGGATTTCCGCCCGTGCCCGGCGCCTATGTGCCGTACCTGCCGCACCCTAGCCATGCTGCGCACCCGGCGTCTTACGCCCCATACCTGTACCGTGCGCGCGCGCCGCAGCCACCCGCCAGCTACCCCGTGCGTCCGCGACCCACCTCCGGGTTTGTGCCGCCAGCGCCGCAACCCCATTCACCACCAGTTTCGGCACCAGCGCCTGCCCCTCCACCCCGAGAGGTAGGCATCTTTCTGATAATTACTGTTCTAAAACATGGTTGAGATATGTCGTTGTTAGAAGTTTATAAACGGAAGTACTTATGCGTATATATTCGTGATGAGTATGATCATGACACTACAATTAAACAAAAAACAATTCACGATAGCTATCGCTCTACAATTAACATATGTATCCGTAAGTTCAAACTATTATGTTACATTTCAGGAACCACCAAGATCTCCTGAACGAGGAGCACCAGCTCCTTACTTCTGTCGAGGCGCCCTCATACGACTTGAAGATGGATCGCTGCGGCGGGTGGAGGAAATGCGCACCGAGGACTTCGTGATGAGCGCTGACAGGATCAGCGACCTTGCGCTCACGCAGTGCACACTGCTAAGGCTCGACGAGCGAGGAGATAAACTCGCGCTCACACTCACTTATGACAGAAATCGGTCACAGGTATACGTTCGTAATTCGTGTCTAACGCGAGAAAGTGAAATGTATAGAGCAGATTAGTCATGACTTTATTAAATATGTTTATTGACGTAAAGCATACTAACACCTTCTAATTTCGATTTCAGGTGGAGCTGGAATCGACCATAGAGCACCCTTTTTTCGTGTACGGCCGAGGCTGGGCTTCGTGTCGACCCGAACGCACGCTGGCGCGGTATGGCCTGCAAGTCCAAAGGCTGCAGGTCGGCGATGTGTGTGTCTCGCTTGTGGCGAAGAAACACGCCGCAGGGGCCGTTTCGGTTTCCCTACCCGCAATGTCATACACGACAACAGCGCCGATCGCCACATCAAGGCCTCTAGAACCGATAGTAACAACGTCGTTACCCCTATCCGCGCCGCCACCGCAGACGCACCCGGAGAACCTCAGTGTGAAAGAGGACGCAAGGAAGAGGCGATGGTCTGCATCAGATGTCGCGGAAGACGCTCCGCCTCTGAAAAAACGCTAATCTCGGCGACGTTTTCGTCCAAAGGACGAAGGACTATGAGTGAATTGTGATCGACTTCGTTGTAAAGACTTTGATTTCTCTTGTGTTTCAATCTTCCCCGAATTGTTTTCGGACATTGTGACGAGCCAGTTGAATTTACGCAAAGATACATGTTAAATAATTCCGGACAGTCAACCATGTGCTACATTAGAATTTGCTGACGTCAATAAACAATCCCAGTGACAGTGACGCGAATATGATTTATTTGTATTTTGACAATACCGTAAGCGGCATTCCGATGTACGCTTACGTTAATCTATTTGGGAATTCTAGGTGCTTTTTACTGTCGGGTGCTTCTGTACGCGTTCGTGTACGATGTTGTAAATATGTATGTATTCTAGGTCAAGTTGAATGTTCCACTCCATGACTTGACTATGCTGTGTCACAAAAGCGGTGTTATAGTCGTCGTGTATTACCTTGCAACGTAACGTGGTAACGTTAATTCACCGAATGTAGCAAGCTTCACGTAATACATGGCGTAACAGCTGTCAGTCTTCGCGACACAAGTTTGACGACTATACTACGCCAAATCTGATACAATAAAAAGTTTGATACTGTTTAAAACAGACGAGCAGAACAAATAACTTAAACCAATACAACCACTACATATTTTTGCATGTTCTCAACAACTTAGAGTAAATATTTTTCCAATGAGCACAAAAATAACAATGTGTAAGTTTCTACCAGATCTTAAAATAGGTTAGATATTGTGATAACCAATGAGATTTTAAATCGCCAGTCTGCCACACTCTAGGCAGTGCATATGTAGAATGTAAAATGGTACAATGGATGTTAGATTGTAGCTAGTAGTATTGGGCTGACGTGTGCTTAAAGTTTAGACTGATTCTCGTTCTTCGTGGGTATCTCAATCATTTCACGAGTGCCTGTTGGCAGAACAGGGGGAATTTCACATCTCTGCTCTCATAGTATGCCTTCCAAAGCAAACAAACGGCTGTGGGATTTCATGTAGTTTCGTTGAGGCAGACATGTCAGGTTCCGTTTTCCCCAAGGTTGTGACCGCAGACATATCCATCGACAGTATTGTCGTTTCTTATCATCTTTGCAATACATCACCGACATTCTAACAAAACAAACCCATCTTGGGACATCTTTCTTCCACTTCTAGACGTACCTCGCATAATTAAGCTAGACCCACATTTCTCTTTCATCGGAAGTCCGCAAGTGAGAGAGAGAGACGCGAATGTGGCTTTACCTAATTAATTCGTGAAAACTGTAGAGAGGGTTCGATATTTAGTACTTCGCTGAATAGTGGCAAATACTTCTGACAAATAATTTGATCGTTTTATTACAAAAGTTTATATAAAATATATATGTATATTGTAAAAATTAAATATGTATAATCATGGTTATTAGATGTCATCTCTATTGATTTTTGACGTCCATGTGTGATACACATACTTTTCTATGAAAACATGTATACATAATAAACAGACGGTCTGTGATATTTTGTAGTTATTGGTCAGAGTTGGTATGAAGTATTGCTTGAATAAAAGAAATATTATATAATGTTTAAGGGTAAGCTGTAAGAAGAATGTATATTTATTGTATACTCAAAATAAATACACTGATGATCTAAGCAGCAGAAAACAAAATAACAAGTAGCATCTGTGATTGATATACACTATAACGTTATGCGAAATAACGACAAATGCATGGCCATATCAAAAAAATCTTTTAATGTATTGTTAAGTAAAACTAGTGTCATTTATTTGGATTTAAATTCTTTTCTAAATTATTTTGCATAATCATTATACTGTATTTTCCTTCTTACCAAAACGATCGCTTATATATATTTGTACAAGAAGATGACAGAAATTATTTAGATCAAAGCCTACTCAGCTGATTTCTTAAAATAATTGGTCTAAATCAAGCTCGTATTCTGTGCTGTTTGAATTGTCTGTATTACGTCATCTTCGCAAAAAAAATTACGAAATGCCACTTTGTGTAGACGTGTAAACGAATTGCCATAAACCACAACAAGATAATAAATTAAGATTTAATTTTGTGACTGGGGCTAATTTCTTTAAGCTCGCTAAAGGGTCGCCGTCAATGGTATAAGATTTAGTTAAGTTGTTGACGACAGCAAACAATGACACGCGTACGTTAATGAACAGAAGCGTGAAAAGGATGAATTCAACATTTCATCCTTTCCACACTTGGTGGCAATGTCCTAATGAGACACTTTTTGGCGGTTATGTATGACTAGCCCCTTATCTATGTTTATGAAAATAGCCCCATATTGGTTCCGTGGACCTGCCACTCGCCACTCGCCCCATAAACGCGCTCAGAACGTGAACGATAGGTATGAGTTAAAAGTTAGTTTCATTGTACCGAAATTTGTTACGTGCTTGTTAATGTATGTTAAACGACCATTGAGTACGGACACCTCAGACGAATGGTGTTGTACAAAAGTTAATAATTTGTTGTATAATGTATGTAATTGTAGTTTTTATCGTCTTTATATTATTAATTTTGTAATTGTAATGAAAGATCTCATTTTATTAATCGGTATTTTCTAACAAGGCGCTTTCATTAGATCATGACTAAGCCTACCTCACAAACTTTAAGACTAGTGCCTCAGCGGGCGATGACGTCACGCGAGCCTGTCGCAAACAAGTCTAAACAAGATCTCAATTTGATGAAAATAAACTTTTAAAAAGACTGGGACGCTTTACTGAATGTTGTGGGATAGTAGTTTCTTTGAAGATATTACTTAAATTATGAGATAGGAGCATTTATTTTGTAAACGGGCGAGCGCTCATTCCGTCGCATGTCCTGTAAGCTCCGCTTCCGACAAAAGGATGATTAGTACAAAATTCGTTGTCTAAAGTATTATTTCCCAAAATCCAAATTCAGAAAGTATTAATTTAATTTCAATGAAAGGTGCTATATTGCTTTGATGAATGTGGTTCAGACGTAATCATGGTAGACTTGATGAATTCATGTTGATCCGTTTTATAGTCACGCATTCGCCGTGTAATAGCTAGTTGTTGGCACAATCGATGTTCTTCCGCGCCTCCTAGTACATTTAGAGTCAATTAAGCGTTAATAATGTTGTGTGAATCGTGCTGTGTACTTCTTCATCTCATAGTCTGTTTAAATCCGATGTTTGTTTACTTGCGATAATAAATACATTATGCTCGGCTTAGTACGTTTGCTATTGGATGTACTTCCTTTCGACTTTTGAATGGAAACTTAATAAGACATTGTTAATTTGAATATGTTATGTTATAAACGTGTTGAACTCAGGTATGTATGAATGTAAGTTGTGTGTATACCTGGCAGACAAAGTCAAAATATTTGTACCATAGTATAATAAGAGCAAATAAGGCAACTCACGCCAGTTCAGCGCGTAAATGCCTACACTTCGTTCGGAGCGTAGATAGGATTGTTACATTATTGTTTTAGTTATACCTACAGGTTGTAAATATAATTAAAAAAAACTGTTCATTACAGTGTTCTCGTGCTATATAGAAATAACGTTTGTTAAACGCAGTAGTATTTAATTACGTATTGATATTTTTATACCAGTATCGAAGATATGTATATTGATTATGAAGTATGATTACGAAATAGAAATGAAATGCTGAACAATTCAGAATTTGAGGCACTCTTGTTCAAGCTATCACAAACAACAATAAACACGCGTACTATTTTTATGTCATTTTTTAAACACCAAGCGACCGCTTCAGTTCTATAATTAAAGGCGCGTGTGACGACTCGCGCTGTGCAATGCGAGTGCACGGTGAGATTATGCGAATGTGTGGCAGCGGACGTGCACATATACAAGCCGCTCTGCTACGCTTTTTTGGAGTTACCATACTTGTCTTATTTATTATACTATGGTTACACGCAGAGATATATAATAAAATAATGAAAACTTTTCACAGTTGCCAATATTAGCTATGGTCAGTAATAGTTCCATAGTTTTAGTTGCCCACTAATAATAATGACATAATGTTCGACACAAACGATTGTGCCATCTGTAACACTTCGCAAGGTACTTTATTCGTGCAACATTTTTATGTGAAACTGACGTGTGACAACATTCTTGTTGATGTTTAAAAAAAATTTTAGACTGACGTCATTTTTACTTGAAATGTGTTTGTGATATAATGATACTTAGGGCGCCTTCAAATTAGACGCTTATAGAAGCGCCACAGTGGCGCGTATGTTTTACTCTTCGATCAAATATATTGGTTTTACTAACTAAATGTGACTGCTGTTCTAGATATTGTATGAAAATTAGTAGCGGCTGCTGCGCCACCGACGCGCCACTGCAGAGCTTCTATAAGCGTCTAATTTAAAGACACTCATAAGCATACTGGAAACATTTTACTTATAGCAGTTAAAAGACGACCGTATTCTTTTCTACGTTCTCGTGTGTTTACAAATGTAGAGAACAGGAAATGTTGTGTCATTTAATTAATAGAAAATAATTATTATAAAAATTGTTATATAATCATAATGACAAATATGGCAAAATTATATATTGTATATTTTATTGCGTAGCGGAATGAGTACTATTTCAGATTAATGTAAATGCAGAAAATGTTATAGACCGAGATGTGTTAAATAAGTTAACTGTTTGTAAAAAGGAGAGAAAAATATGTATAATTGAATATTTCTATGCATTCGTTTTATTTTTATATACCCCCTTTCATTACCGCTGATAAAAACCTTCGAATTAAAGTGATATTATTACATTCTTACATCACGAAACATTCAAAACCAATAACAATTATTAAGTACTGTTATTGCATCATGATACGCATTTTGGAATAGTATAATTATAGAATAACAATGTGCCAGACAACCGCAGCAGTGATTTGAAGGGCTAGCACGACACGGTACGACTAGCGCGAGAGCGACATAAAGCACGAGATACTACTCTCGCATACAGATATCACGCTTTTCGTCGCTCTCGCGCAAGTCGCGTCTTGCCGTACTCGCCCTACTGGTCACGTTCTAACGAATCCCTTTTATTATGAGTACTAGAGTAACGAGATTAACTCCGAGGCACTCATCACCACGCTCCGACACCCGAATTAATGTACTAAATAGGTTGTAACCGCTAATGTGCCGTACCTGGTTCACGGCAATAAAATAGAACACTCTGGTCCACATAATTTATTTCATAAGAGGTAAGAAAAAAGAAAGCTGTAACAAAAAGATGACGAATATAAAAAATAGGTACAACGTTATAAAAAACACTCCCTACTTAAGTACTAAAAACGTGAGACAGACATACCCCGAAAGGGCCGAGTTATACAATATTACAAGGTTAGATTAGTATTAAAATTGGCACATTATTTAGGTTGAAACGGTCGGTTCAGCGATTGAGCAAAAAATGACGACGGGACGAAACAAAATAAGAATGACGAGGCAAAGGAATTAAAGAACGACTTAAAATTTGAAAAGAAATGGCCAGGAACCAGAGAAAAGGTGATAAAAAGGTGGGATGACGATGGAAGGAGGTCACATCGTCACAGTACTAATTGATTCTACTGGGAATCGAACTCAAGACCTCCGCATCTAGCGTCCACAATACTAACCGCTGGTCCAACGAGATAGTCCGTAGATATCACTCACTTATCATGCATGTTCTATTTACAAATTAACTATACAAAAAAACTACAGAGATATAAAATTACTTACAAAGGTTTATTTCAGTTATCACAACATAGAAATACTAGGCGTACATAAATATTCTAGAGGTGCTCATTCATATATCAGAATTAAGGTCCAGTTTTACCTTCTCACCCGGTTTGAAGGCGGGCATACCAAGGTAAGGGCACGTGGCGCAGCGAAACGCGTCGCCTAGGTAACACTGGAATTATACAAACGAAAATTAAACGTTCAGCGCTGCATGTAATAATTTATTTATTTTTAATAAACAAAATGAAATTTCGTTTAGATTTTGTGACAAAGCAGAGAAACAGCAGAAAGTTTAAAATTTGTAACAGGTTAACACTGATTAAGTCAAGTTTTAATAAATAAAATAGCTTTAATTTATTTTTTATTGAATGTCAGAACGTTTCACCGTCATGACATTCAATTATTTTTTGTAAAATTACTCCACTAGTTTGTTATAATTATTAATACAAGGATCGAACACTTATTAAAAGCGCCTTCGATGGTGCTACGGCTAAAAAGTCGTCGAAAACCAAACACAAAGATCCGACACCAAGCACATAGAAAAATTCATGAGGTCCACTGGTTCGTTCCATGGCTTAGTTGGCATAGCGTCTGACACAGTTTGCTAGGAGACGTTAGTTTGAATCCGGCCGGATCGAAGGAGTTTATTCTATGTGTTCGATGTTTGTATTCATAATTATAAAATAGCTTTTTCAACATCAGTTTACGTAATTTAGAGGAACGTAAAGTCAACCTCGAACCACTCGACAAACCTTAAATTCAAACTCCAAATTAGACCTAAAATAAAAAAGTATTGATGTGGATTTACCGGTGTTTCGCTAAATGTGCTGGTATGTGTACTATATAATATTACATTTAAAGGTAATAATAAAATTAAGTGATCTATCAAAAGTGCTAAACATACATACACATTTAAATAAAGCACACAAACATTGGATGCATATTTCAAGTAAGACTTATAATTATACATAGGTATGATACATGATAAAAAGAGCACCACCACAACTGCAAAATTAATAGTTATACACAAAAATAAGCATTAGGATCAATGGAGTAGCCTATGTAATATGCTTACGTCAATACAATGATGATCATTGTTCTGTAAATTTAAAAGATAAGGAAATACTCACACTTCCACAGGATGATTTGGGTGCATCTTTCTTTTCTCCAGCTAACTCTTCTGCCAACCCACACGAACAGTCCGCGCAAGCCTTTCGTTTGCCAGTCGTTGCACACACTGGAAATTAAGAAAAATGCCTTCAACATGTAATCCTTTTTTACAAGAATGCAAGTCTATATGATGGTACTTAAAAACTAAATAAAGATAGTAGGTACCAACTAGCGCTCATTCAATAAAACTATTTGAATAGCGTCATTATCTTTTGAAACAACGACATTGACCGCAACGATCAGCGCCGCGCGCAACACCGGACTTGGAACACAAAACCTCGACGTGTTTGTATTTAGAGCGCATAATGTAGGCTTGCGTTCCATTATCAAGATAATACAGCAGATATGACTGTCAAAACATGAAGCATTATTACAAATAAAATGAATATTTATTAAATACATAGAGAAAATTAGAAAGATTCAAATTGGTATTATGTTTTACTACTGGACAAAAAATACATATATTGGTATATTTAAAATCCATGAAGTTATCAAATTAAAAATGATTTTAAGTTTTAAGAAGATAACAATATAAGTACAGTGCCCATGGTGTATATAGAATTAACTGTACAACAACTTACCTCTCAAAGATTCCTTATCAGGTTTTTTCAAATCATCTTCATCCAGTAACTGGTCAGCGTCAATAGTCTCCGTATCATTGGCTCCAGTCCATGCTGCTTCTATTGTGTCGTCAATTTTCCACACTGCTGGCTTGTTCCCCAACTTGAGAGATGCTTTTGAGCCTACCTGTAATATTAAAGGCACCCTTGTAATTCCAATATGTTTTAGTATTACAATATTAGAAAAATAAAGGACAGAAATTGTGCTCAAGCACAAACTAGAGAAAGGGGGTTATGAAGGCTTTCGTTCAGTATTACTACATTGCCATATAAAGCACATACTATGGCTAATTAAAAAACACGATGTTAACATTATGTATTATAGTCACGGAGAGAGCCACCAAAATGTATTAAATTATATCTATTTATTTATCAATTTTTTAAACTATGGACATTGACCAAAAAGATGATTGGTGTGAAAAAAAAGTAAAAAACCTAATTTTAAGTAATTGGGAAACACATGCTCGATCCATAGGGTTGTATTCCAGAACCGTACTCAATGTTCAAGTCAGGATTTGAGCAGACATGAGTAATATTTCAAGCACTGGAAATATGACCCTAATGGCAATGACTTGAGTATGATTTCTATTGCTTTGAATCATACTCAAGTCCTGACTTGAGCATTGAGTAGAGTTCTAGAATACAACCCTTAGACACTTTCGATGTTGTGTATTTATGCTATTCTGCCATAGATATCAACTCTATGACAAAATAGTGATACCTAATATGGGCAGAATTGGGAAGCACCAAAATTATTATTATTTCGATGAATCTAAGCTAATGAATTAATTCTATCATTTTAAAAATCTTGTCATTCATGCTAGCACTATAACTTAATTAACAGATATGTTAACTAAGTTATTAATTCTAGAACTTGATTAATTCAAATATCCCATAAATTGTAAATAGTTTTATTTTAACATTAATTTTAGAGATCCAGACCATCATTAAACTGAATTATCTTAATGTGGCACATCTAGGATAATATAATAATTTATTTTGGGACTTTTAAATCCACAGTGTTAAACAATGTAAGTTAAGCTATATTTTACATTTAAACAAGTGAAACTCTGACAGAATGGTGTGTGGCATAGCTAAAGGCTTACAGCCTTGTGCAGCACAGCTCCACCCAGAACTGCAATATTGGAGAGTTCCTTCTGTCCTGCAGCTGCATTGCCGATCTAGAAGTACACCATACACACCATACTTTCTTATAGTAGCAATGATCTATACACGCTTCAGCAACATTAGAGGCATTACAGATTTGCAGCAAACTAAATAGCACCTTAAAGTATGAAGGAATTCAAACAGTACAGAATAGACAACCTCAGTGGTCCAATGGGTTTATACTGTGGGTGCTGGATGAGGTCCCAGGTTTGATTTCCAGTGTGACCAAATTGAGAAGTGAACCTTTTAAAATTGTTTCTTGTATGGGTGTTCTGGGAATTTATGTTGCTCTGGTACTCATAGTACAGGGAATTCTCTAGTTTGAGACCAGGCAATTGGTGTGATCATCTGGCATATTATTATTAATATATTAAATATTACCTCAAACTTTGGTTTCTCTGCTACATAAACACCATCCAACTCTTTAGTAACATTCACAAATCCATTCAACTTGAGAGTGGTAACTAAGTCTTTTTCATCTTTCAGAACTAACTTTCCACTGGGTTTGAGAAGTTTAACTATGATAGCGAGTAGGCTGTCGGTGTGCTGTACTGCATTTGGACTCAACCAGTTTGAAAGAACCACGTCGAATGTTGAAATTGGTCGAGATGCTGAAAAATCGTAACGATTATACAATATACTGACTGGCGCAAAACATTCAAAAATGTTTAGAGGACGTATTTCCTCACATTCTGTAATCATATCCGAGTTTTCCAGTATAATATTTCCACCAGAAATGCCTTGGATTTGGTTGACTAAATTGCCGATGTCATCTTGTGAACTGTTCTTCCAAATCACAAGCACGTTGTCGCCGATTTTTATATTATTCATAGTTGTTGTATTCTGTAGTTTCGGCAAAAAACACTTGTAAGTCCACTTATTGGTGATATATAACTAAAGAATAAAACCGTGCACTTTGAACAATTTTAGTTTCATGAATGATTTTTTTTTTGTTTTAATAGGACCACAAAATAATTCTGAATGTGACACTGACAGCTGACACAAATATATCTAATTGAACTGACAGATTGTCGTGATAACTATTTAATTAAAAAAAAAACTATTATTTGATACTTCCTACATTTACATGAATTATGTCGAATACAAGAAATCCAGCCGCACATATTATTGAAAAAAGAAAAATAAAGTTATGTTTCAATAACAATAATTATAGAGTTAGGTGTCTATATTTTACGTGCATTTATTTACATATAAAAATGCAATAAATTATACAACTAAACATATATAGGTATTGAAAGCTATTATTATTGTTATCAGAGAACAAAAAGTAACGAGAATGGACACTCTCCGCTTCTCCCTAGATTTAGATACCGCACCACGCCCCGCACCACAAACTACTAATACAAGACCCCGCACATTGACGGTCACATTGACTGAACGACAAGGCTGTCGTCGGCGAATCGTTTTTGCGCTAAGGCGGCTTTGATGTTTGATTATAGTTTTCATTTATTCATTACGAAACTTGTACGTTCCGAAAGATGAAACGACGATAAAAAAACGTATGCCTGAGATTTATTCAGATATTGTTTTCTTCATTTATTTAGTGCAGAATAGATATATATATATATAAATATATATATATATATATATATATGTGTGTGTGTGTGTGTGTATGTATGTATATATATATAATACAGAAGTTATAGCAACTTCATGAGGCAGTAGAAAAGGTTCTCTAATTTTCAATTTGTATAGCCAATAAATATTATGTAGTAAAATATACCTAATTATTGACTAGGTAACAATAAATTAGGACACGCAATTTCAAATACCTTGGTTACCTTATTGAAAAGTACTTGTCCAAAATACAACATTTTAAGACTATGTAACGCTTTTAATATATTTTTTAAGTAAATCTTTAATATTATTCTAGTTAGTGGATTAATGGAAAATATAATACTATATCGATATAAATAGCTAATGAACATATGTAATTGTTAGGATTCTATTAATATAATTATGGTTAACAGATTCGCGTTAGAATTTTCGTTAAGTTCACGTAACGTAATTGTACGAAAAAGTGATGGGTAACCCTGCCACTACACGCACACATTTGCACGTGTGCAGATAGCGCCTTGCTGTATGTGGTAGTAATAGGTAAATAACTTTCGACCGTTGTATGGAGTGTTCGGGGTGTGGTTGTTAGTACAATACATACTTAGACTTATTTTAGTCGTAGCATAGATTGTTTATGAAATATTGCCTTCGTTTTAAATTCCAAAAGGATTTTTGGAGAATAAAAATTAAATAATCCTGAATTATTACTTACGAATTTGTATATATTGTTATGCATATAAATGTACGTAGTACGTTCGAAAAATTGTAATTGTTAAATTACGTCATATTTTTTATTAATTCGCATGTAAGCTTTATCTTTTTGAGTTTCACCATAAATTTATTCAAATTCTGTCAAATGAACTGATTAGCAACCAGCAACTAATGGCACACCCCGGATACTCCACACAATGGTCGAAAATTATTTACCTACTACTACAACATACACCAAGGCGCTAGCTGCACACGCGCAAATATGTGCGTGAAGTGGCAGGGTTACCCATAACTTTCTCGCACTATTACGTTACGTGGTCAGAGCGGCAACATGGCGAAAATTCTAACGCGAATCTGTTATTATCTATGATTCTCTTAAAATATGTTATGTGTTAATATAATTACAACTAGAGGTAGGCGTATAAATAAAAAGCACCTAAAAAAGTTTGCTTTGTAAAATAAGTACTTTATATAAGCTTTTCAATTTAATAGAATCCTAATAATTTAATTTATATACCTAATAGACATGTATAATGTCTATTAGGTATATAAATCGATATATTATTATATTTATCATTAATTCACTAACTAGAGTAATATTGAAGATTTATTTCGAAAATATATGAAAAGCACTTAAAATGTTATATTTCGGACATGTACTTTTTAAGTAAGATAACCAAGGTATTTGAAATTGTCCAAGTTTAGTTAATAATTAGATACATCGAGTATATAACCAGAAATAGAGACGAAATGTCATTTAATTTGTTTAAAAACTATTCTGCCATATCATTACTGTGACAACTGCGCTCCGATTGGCTAGTCCGTCAGTTCGAAACAATAATAATTGACGGGTGTCGTCAATGCGTGTCGTCGACTGTTTCACTTCAAATCGACCAGTTAACTTGAGCTTTGCTATTTTGAACGAAAATTGCAAAATTACATATTTAATATTTAATTACCGATGAAATATGACTCCGTTTATTTTGTAATTAGATGTTTTGCTGTTTTTCCCACACCACCGAACAGCACGGCGTTGTTAGAGATATTATTTTTATTACAATAAATACAGAATATTTCTTTGGAATATACGGAGACGTACACACAGGTCAGTAGTTGGCCTGTCTATATTTCAGTGCAAACGAGAGTTGATATTTATGAGAGCTGTATCGCTAATGTGTTACCAGGAATATATGGCTCTTTCGTCTCTATTTCTGGTTATGTACTCGATGATTATATATATTTACCGCATACGTAATATTTATCGGCAATAC